TCTTCCAAAAGATTTTCGAAAGAAACGTGCGATTTTCGAGTGACCATCGAATTAAAGTAATCGGGCATTTTGGAAATTTTTTGAAAAAAGAACACATTTCTAAAAAATGGTGGGAGAATCGGGGAAGAAATATAATTGAAAAAGAAACAAGCATGAGCTGTGATCTGGAAAGAAAAGAAAATTCTTGGCCACGACAATTCTTTTCTGTAGCAAGATGTGAAATTAAAGGCTTGGTTGAATCAATGGTAGCACCATCGGATTACAAAATGCACAAAATTTCCAATTATCTAAAGAACATTCTTTTGGAATTCGACTCATGTATGGCCGGCTTTAGGTTGCATTCACACCTGAGTGTTGCGTTTTTTGGCTGTTTTGTCATGCCTTTGTATGCGTACTTCTTTCACCAAGTATTTTGGAGCTGTTGCATTTTTCGCCAATACAGAAAACTATCATCTGTTACATCCTGTGTTGCTATGGGTTTCTGCTATCAGCTGCTTCAGAAATGCACCCATCTGCCCGAATCGAGATCCAAAAGTAGATCCAAAACTTTTTGAGCGTCACACATTTGGCTTCAGGCGTTTTGGAGTGAGATATCTCCATAGAGAACAATTGTTATTTTTTAGAGATTAGATTTGGGAGATTTTGGAGCTTAGAGCTAAAAACACTCAGGTGTGGATGGATCTTTAGGCCTAGTTCACACTAATGCATTTTTTAGTGCTTTTTGCAGAAAAGCACTACAGTCCATTTAACATAGTTTCCTATGGGACACCTTCATATCTATGCTTTTTTGAGCAGCTGTGTTTTTGGAAAGGTCTTGGGACTTTTTTAACCACTTGGTAACCGCGATATAGCCGAATAATGGCTACAGCGCGATTACCCAGTTCTGGGAGGGCGTCATATGACGTCCTGCCAGAACGCGCTCTCCTGCGTGCCCCCATGGGTGCACACCTGACGATCTCCGTGATTGCTGTGTCCTACAGGCACAGCTGATCACATGGTGAGGTAAAAAGGCCAACCATAGTGGCTTTTTACCACGTGATCAGCTGTGTCCAATGACACAGCAGATAACAGAGTAAATACAGTTCCTGGATATTGGCAGCACGTGCCTCACGCTGTCACAGCATAAGGAAAGTATTGCCAATGACCAGCAGCTGTCACAAAGGAGATCGGCACTGATCATCAGGGCACTGATGATCAGTGCCGCCCAGCAGTGCTTCCCATCAGTGCCCAACAGTGCCACCCACCAGTGCCCATCAGTGCCCCCCAGTAGTGCCTCCCATCAGTGCTTCCAGCAGTTGCCACCCATCAGTGCTGCCCAGGGGCGGACTGACAACTCATGGGGCCCCCTGGCAATAGGGGATCATGGGGCCCCTGTGTCCTTGCCCAAACTCAAAAAAGCCTATGAAAAAGGTACCAGGGGCATCTCATGGGGCCCCCTACTGACCCCAGGCCCTCGAGCAGTGCCCGAGTTTCCAAATGGTCAGTCCGCCCCTGGTGCTGCCCATCAGTGCCGCCTATAAGTGCCATCAGTCAGTGCTGCCAGTCTGTGCCGTCAGTCAAAGCTGCCCGTCAGTGCCACCTAACAGTGGCGCCTATCAATGCCCCTCAGTGCCAACTATCAGTGCAGTATCATCAGTGCCTCCTCATCAATGCCCACCAGAGCCGCCTCATCAGTGCCACTTTATCAGTGCAGCCTATCAGTGCCACCTATCCGTGCCACCTCATCAGTGCCCATCAGTGCTGCCTATCAGTGCAGCCTCATCAACACTCATCAGTGAAGGAGAAAAATTGCCTGGTTGAAAAATGTTATAATAGAAACAAGGAAAACCTTTTTTTTTAATGTTTTGCTTTTTTTTGTTTATAGAGCAAAAAATATAACAGTCAGTGATGATTAAATACCACCAAAAGAAAGCGGTACTTGTGTGAAAAAAATGATAAAAAATTTCATATGGGTACAATGTTGCATGACTGGTTAATTGTCATTCAAAGTGCAACAGCACTGAAAGCTGAACATTGACCTGGGCAGGAAGAGGTTATAAGTGCCCGGTAGGCAAGTGGTTGAACGGAAAACTGTTTTTGCTACAATAGAGTTCAATGGAGATGCTCCTGAAACACATATAGTGCATTTTTGCCACATTTTGCAGTGGGCATTTTATTTTTGCCCAGCAATAAAGACATTTCCCCATTTGCCACCCACCACAATAGCTGTACTGTGAATGGATGGCAGCTCAAGGTCAAGCGACTTACCTGTTATGCAATCTTTCTTCCAGGTTCAAGGTGCAAGCATAATTGGACACAGCATGAGTTTGGCAGCTGATTTCAGCCAATGATTGTGGCTGAAGTCAGCTGATCAGTTGTGTCCAATCACACACAGAACTCTGTGCACAGGGAACAGCAATCTCGAAGGACTAGGTTCCTTCCTGAGCATTTTGTGGTGTGTTTTGTGCTATGCAGAAACACAGTACAGTCCATTTAACATGATTTCCTATGGGTGAAATTCACATCTCCAAGTTAGCTGTCACTTTCCCCGGAGCTAAAGGATACTTTGTTTCTTTTATCTCGGGAAACAATCCAAAAGGAAACATTGTTTCTTTTAACTTGGGGAAATAAATTAAAAGGAAATTTTCTTTCTTTTAGCTGGGGAGAAAGTGACAGCTGATTCTCTGAGCTATAGTGCAGATTAAAAAAAGCCGGTAATTACATTAAAAAAGCGGCATTAACCTATAGTGACAGCGACTTTTTTCTTTTTTTCTTACCTCCAGAAGGGATTAATTGGTTTTCAATGCATTCCTATGGGAAACCATGCTATGGTTTCCGAATTTTTCACAATACGAAATGTCCCGGAGAAAATTACATTTGTAAACTGCAGTACACCTGTACGTACAGATGCATATATGTTCGGCGTTAAAGTCCACCCGCTAAGAAGTCGTTAACAAGCGGAAAGTGGTTAACAATGAACTCCAGGAATTATTTGCATTGCATAATTACAGCTTGGCATAATGTAACTATGTATTTCTCCGGCCTGATGGTTGGCTGGGGATACTGGTGCTATTACAGTGATAGAAGCGATCTCTCTCTCAAGTTCTATGGAAGCAGCTTCCCCTCTGCACACTAACCATGGAGAGTCTTTCACTAGGCATGGTCGCCATTTATAAAATGCCTTGTATTTTTTTGTTGAATATAAGGCATTATCAGATTGGACAAGGTGGAGGTCGTGATGTCACTGACCATCCTCTTCACTTTGTCCAATCAGAGAATGCATGTGTTCATTGGGAAAAATACAAGGCATTCTATAAATGACAGAAGTGCTGAGTGAGAGACCCCTTGTGTGCAGAGGGGAAGCAGCTCATGCAGGACCTTGTAGATCGCAGCTATCAGTGTAATAGTGCCAACTTCTGCAATGATTTCCAGCTTCTGCAGTTTACATACATTATGCCAAAGAAACCCTGTATTTTCTGATGGATCTTCCACATTGGAGGCATGGTGTTTACCCTTATAAAATGCAGGGGGAAGAGAAGGAAGCACTAAATGAAGGTGGGAAATCCTACAGCTAGGGGATAAGGGCAAACAGTAACAAAGTGTACAATCCTGTAGTCATTGGCTGCTCACCTTTTAGCAACTCAGAGTTTCTACTTTGTGAGGTATATTCTATTTTACTAAGGTCTTTTTGAGGGGGCTTTCGCCGTGTATACTTTCTGCTGACACAGGCAAAGCTGCTCTTTGTTTGCAGCAGGTCACCGTATACATGTCTGGTAAACTTGTTTGTGCCAGAGCATCACATATTTATTTATCTCCCTGCTGCCATACATACAGTAGCTGCCATTAAATTTCAGAAACTGCCTTTATTAAAAGGAAAAAAAAAAAAAAAAAACAGGAAGATCTAAAGTGAATGGCAAACTTTCTATTCTTTTAGGTAGTCTGTCTTTTTTTTAAACACAATGTACAGGATTACATTTTTTACTTTTTTTATGGCCTTGTAAGGTTGTCCCTGTCTTGATCAAGCAAGCTTTGTAAAGAAAAAAAAAAGAGTTTTAGTCCTATGCACCTTGTCAGTATACTAAGTTAAAATAAGCTGCTTTCACAATGTAGCAGGAAGGGCAGGCAGCAGCAAATGGAGAGGGGAAATTGCAAGGAAAAGGACTGGCAGGGGAAAATAGGTAAATGTACCACTTAGTCCCACAGAAGCCCACAGTATAAGGTCCCTAGGGTCTTTTCCCGTAGTTGCAGCCGCAACCAGGCACACAGTCACTCTTTTGGCTCAATGAACAGGCAAGGGGTATGCTTTTTTGATGCTTGAACCCTTTAATTGCCAGGTTCTGTGCTCTATTTTTAAACTCAGGTGGCCAATTCATTTTTACAAATTTTTTCCATCTCTTTTTTATTTTTAGCTTACAGCTTTCAGAGTCTGTAAAAGATCCCAAACCATACTTTTTTGAAAGCACATGACCAATAGAATAAAAAGAAGGCACTACTGATTTTTCAGGCCCCTGATATTTGTGCTGATGTTTATAAAAAAATATTTTTGCTAAACATACACTAAAATCATTATTAGCAGATGCAAATGCAGCAAATTTTACTAAATTCCTGCTAAATTCCTACTAAATATAAAAGCTAAACTTGTGTTGAGTTAATAAATAACAAATATTTGTAAATTTTAAATTGTGCCTTTTTGTGAAATGGTGAAAACCGAACTTGATTATTTATATAAAACTGTAAATAACCAAATTTCTGGAGGTTTTCATTTTTCATTTACAGCTTTTAGAGTTTGTAAAAGACCCCCTAAACCTTATATTTTCTGAAAGCACATGACCAGTAGAATAAAAGGAATGTACTACTGATTTTTAATGCCCTGTGGCATTTGTGAAAATTAGAGATGAGCGAAGAAATGAAAAATTCGATTCGACTGATTCGGCGAATTCGTGGACAATATTCGATTCGAGTCGAATAAATTCGCTGTGAATTTAACTTAAAAAAGGGTGTTTCTAGGCTTCAGAGAGACTTAATATTAGTGCAGAACACTGTACCTTTAATTTAAATGCCCTTGGAGTCTGCTGGGGAAGAGAAATAATACTGTCTGTCAGTATGACATGCAGATGAGTGCCGTCGATCTTAGAATCACTGCACACTTCACTCCTTTGGCCAGTCACGGGGCAAAACCAGTGTTTGGAGCCACAGTGTGGCGGTGGAGGCAGCAGCAATGGGAGGCCATACAGCAACCTATGACAAAATGGAAACCAGCAGGAGCGTGAGGAGACCTGAAAGTGGCACATGGCAGAGTGGGAGCAATGGGAGGCGGTACAGGGACCCAGGTCACACTATGGGCCCAGCAGCAGCGTGACCAGGCGGTACGGGGGCCCATGGCCGATATGGGGCTTGGTGGCACCTATGGAAGGCCTGTAATCTGCCAGCAACCTATGACAAAATGGACAACCGCAGGAGTGTGAGGAGATTTCAAAGTGGCACATGGCAGAGTGGAAGCAATGGAAGGCCGTACAGGGACCCAGGTCACACTGTGGGACCAGCATCAGCGTGAACAGGCGGGTACGGGGGCCCATGGCCGATTTGACCTCATTCATCCCATAGTCCTGCCGACTCACGAATAGCGTGGCCTCCTCAAAGGGCCTGAGCAAGCGCAGGTGTCACACATGAGCTGCCAATGGCTGACATCTAAGTTACACAGGGAGTACCTTTATCCGCTTTTAACATCAGGAAATCTGTGATGGCCTTTAGCTGTTCGTAAAGGCGGTCTAACATATGTAGGGTTGAATTCCACCTTGTTGCAACGTCACAGCATGAGGAGTCGGTACGGGGGCCCATGGCAGATTACATGTCTGGCAGCAGCTATGTGAGGCCCGTAATCTGCCTGCACCCTATGTCAAAAAATTTAACACACCAGCAGTGTGAAGAGACCTGAAAGTGGCACATGGCAGCAGAGTGTGGCGATGGAGACAGCAGCAATGGGAGGCCGTACAGGGACCCATGAGAGACTCTGGACTTGGCAGCAGCATGAGGAGGCGGTATATAGGGGCCCATGGCAGATTAGGGGCCTGGCAGCAGCTATGTGAGGCCCGTAATCTGCCTGCACCCTATGTCAAAAAATTTAACACACCAGCAGTGTGAAGAGACCTGAAAGTGGCACATGGCAGCAGAGTGTGGCGATGGAGACAGCAGCAATGGGAGGCCGTACAGGGACCCATGACAGACTCTGGACTTGGCAGCAGCATGAGGAGGCGGTATATAGGGGCCCATGGCAGATTAGGGGCCTGGCAGCAGCTATGTGAGGCCCGTAATCTGCCTGCACCCTATGTCAAAAAATTAACACACCAGCAGTGTGTGAAGAGACCTGAAAGTGGCACATGGCAGAGTGTGGCGATGGAGACAGCAGCAATGGGAGGCCGTACAGGGACCCATGAGAGACTCTGGACTTGGCAGCAGCATGAGGAGGCGGTATATAGGGGCCTATGGCAGATTAGGGGCCTGGCAGCAGCTATAGTGAGGCCCGTAATCTGCCTGCACCCTATGTCAAAAAATTTAAACACACCAGCAGTGTGAAGAGACCTGAAAGTGGCACATGGCAGCAGAGTGTGGCGATGGAGACAGCAGCAATGGGAGGCCGTACAGGGACCCATGAGAGACTCTGGACTTGGCAGCAGCATGAGGAGGCGGTATATAGGGGCCCCATGGCAGATTAGGGGCCTGGCAGCAGCTATGTGAGGCCCGTAATCTGCCTGCACCCTATGTCAAAAAATTTAACACACCAGCAGTGTGAGGAGACCTGAAAGTGGCACATGGCAGCAGAGTGTGGCGATGGAGACAGCAGCAATGGGAGGCCGTACAGGGACCCATGACAGACTCTGGACTTGGCAGCAGCATGAGGAGGCGGTATATAGGGGCCCATGGCAGATTAGGGGCCTGGCAGCAGCTATGTGAGGCCCGTAATCTGCCTGCACCCTATGTCAAAAAATTTAACACACCAGCAGTGTGAAGAGACCTGAAAGTGGCACATGGCAGCAGAGTGTGGCGATGGAGACAGCAGCAATGGGAGGCCGTACAGGGACCCATGACAGACTCTGGACTTGGCAGCAGCATGAGGAGGCGGTATATATAGGGGCCCATGGCAGATTAGGGGCCTGGCAGCAGCTATGTGAGGCCCGTAATCTGCCTGCACCCTATGTCAAAAAATTTAACACACCAGCAGTGTGAAGAGACCTGAAAGTGGCACATGGCAGCAGAGTGTGGCGATGGAGACAGCAGCAATGGGAGGCCGTACAGGGACCCATGAGAGACTCTGGACTTGGCAGCAGCATGAGGAGGCGGTATATAGGGGCCCATGGCAGATTAGGGGCCTGGCAGCAGCTATGTGAGGCCCGTAATCTGCCTGCACCCTATGTCAAAAAATTTAACACACACCAGCAGTGTGAAGAGAGACCTGAAAGTGGCACATGGCAGCAGAGTGTGGCGATGGAGACAGCAGCAATGGGAGGCCGTACAGGGACCCATGACAGACTCTGGACTTGGCAGCAGCATGAGGAGGCGGTATATAGGGGCCCATGGCAGATTAGGGGCCTGGCAGCAGCTATGTGAGGCCCGTAATCTGCCTGCACCCTATGTCAAAAAAATTTAAACACACCAGCAGTGTGAAGAGACCTGAAAGTGGCACATGGCAGCAGAGTGTGGCGATGGAGACAGCAGCAATGGGAGGCCGTATACAGGGACCCATGAGAGACTCTGGACTTGGCAGCAGCATGAGGAGGCGGTATATAGGGGCCCATGGCAGATTAGGGGCCTGGCAGCAGCTATGTGAGGCCCGTAATCTGCCTGCACCCTATATTCAAAAAATTTAACACACCAGCAGTGTGAAGAGGAGACCTGAAAGTGGCACATGGCAGCAGAGTGTGGCGATGGAGACAGCAGCAATGGGAGGCCGTACAGGGACCCATGAGAGACTCTGGACTTGGCAGCAGCATGAGGAGGGCGGTGGGTTGGTATATAGGGGCCTATGGCAGATTAGGGGCCTGGCAGCAGCTATGTGAGAGGCCCGTAATCTGCCTGCACCCTATGTCAAAAAATTTTACACACACCAGCAGTGTGAAGAGACCTGAAAGTGGCACATGGCAGCAGAGTGTGGCGATGGAGACAGCAGCAATGGGAGGCCGTACAGGGACCCATGAGAGACTCTGGACTTGGCAGCAGCATGAGGATGGCGGCGGTTATATAGGGGCCACCATGGCAGATTAGGGGCCTGGCAGCAGCTATGTGAGGCCCGTAATCTGCCTGCACCCTATGTCAAAAAATTTAACACACCAGCAGTGTGAGAGACCTGAAAGTGGCACATGGCAGCAGAGGTGGCATGGAGACAAGGTAATCTGCCTGCAGTGTGAAGAGGCTAAAGTGGCAAAGTGGCACATGGCAGCAGTGTGGCGGCATGGAGACAGCAGCAATGGGAGGCCGTACAGGGACCCATGAGAGACTCTGGACTTGGCAGCAGCATGAGGAGGCGGTATATAGGGGCCCATGGCAGATTAGGGGCCTGGCAGCAGCTATGTGAGGCCCGTAATCTGCCTGCACCCTATGTCAAAAAATTTAACAACACCACCAGCAGTGTGAAGAGACCTGAAAGTGGCACATGGCAGCAGAGTGTGGCGGCGATGGAGACAGCAGCAATGGGAGGCCGTACAGGGACCCATGAGAGACTCTGGACTTGGCAGCAGCATGAGGAGGCGGTATATAGGGGCCCATGGCAGATTAGGGGCCTGGCAGCAGCTATGTGAGGCCCGTAATCTGCCAGCACCCTATGTCAAAAAATTTTACACACCAGCAGTGTGTGAAGGCCTGAAAAAAAATTGGCGATGGAGACAGCAGCAATGGGGGCCGTACAGGGACCCATGAGTGATGACTGGCAGCACCATGAGGAGTGGCACATGGCCCATGGCAGCTGCTTAGGGAGTGCAGCAGCTACATGTTGCACCAGATGTGGGAGGCCGCAGTGTGACAGGGGCAGCAGAGTGTGAGACTGGGGACCCATGAGAGACTTGGACATGGCAGCAGCATGAGGAGGCGGGGTTATATAGGGGCCATGGCAGATTAGGGGCCTGGCAGCAGCTATGTGAGGCCCGTAATCTGCCTGCACCCTATGTCAAAAAATTTAACACACCAGCAGTGTGAAGAGACCTGAAAGTGGCACATGGCAGCAGAGTGTGGCGATGGAGACAGCAGCAATGGGAGGCCGTACAGGGACCCATGACAGACTCTGGACTTGGCAGCAGCATGAGGAGGCGGTATATATAGGGGCCCATGGCAGATTAGGGGCCTGGCAGCAGCTATGTGAGGCCCGTAATCTGCCTGCACCCTATGTCAAAAAAATTTAAACACACCAGCAGTGTGAAGAGACCTGAAAGTGGCACATGGCAGCAGAGTGTGTGGCGATGGAGACAGCAGCAATGGGCCGAGGGACCCATGAGACTCTGGGACTTGGCATGGAGGCAGGTATATAGGGGCCGTTAGTCCAGGGCAGCAGCAGAGTGCAGCAATGGGAGGCCGTACAGGGACCCATGACAGACTCTGGACTTGGCAGCAGCATGAGGAGGCGGGCGGTATATGGGGCCCATGGCAGATTAGGGGCCTGGCAGCAGCTATGTGAGGCCCGTAATCTGCCTGCCCCTATGTCAAAAAATTTAAACACACCAGCAGTGTGAAGAGACCTGAAAGTGGCACATGGCAGCAGAGTGTGGCGATGGAGACAGCAGCAATGGGAGGCCCATTACAGGGACCCATGACAGACTCTGGACTTGGCAGCAGCATGAGGAGGCGGGTATATAGGGGCCCATGGCAGATTAGGGGCCTGGCAGCAGCTATGTGAGGCCCGTAATCTGCCTGCACCCTATGTCAAAAAATTTTACACACCAGCAGTGTGAAGAGACCTGAAAGTGGCACATGGCAGCAGAGTGTGGCGATGGAGACAGCAGCAATGGGAGGCAGTGTGGGACCCATGAGAGACTCTGGACTGGCAGCAGCATGAGGAGGCGGTATTTAGAGGGGCCCATGGCAGATTAGGGGCCTGGCAGCAGCTATGGGCCCGTAATGGTGCAGCAAGCTATGGAGACCCTGCACCCTATGTCAAAAAATTTAACACACCCAGTGTGAGAGACCTGAAAGTGGCACATGGCAGCAGAGTGTGGCGATGGAGACAGCAGCAATGGGAGGCCGTACAGGGACCATGACAGACTCTGGACTTGGCAGCAGCATGAGGAGGCGGTATATAGGGGCCCATGGCAGATTAGGGGCCTGGCAGCAGCTATGTGAGGCCCGTAATCTGCCTGCACCCTATGTCAAAAAATTTAACACACCAGCAGTGTGTGAAGAGACCTGAAAGTGGCACATGGCAGCAGAGTGTGGCGATGGAGACAGCAGCAATGGGAGGCCGTACAGGGACCCATGAGAGACTCTGGACTTGGCAGCAGCATGAGGAGGCGGTATATAGGGGCCCATGGCAGATTAGGGGCCTGGCAGCAGCTATGTGAGGCCCGTAATCTGCCTGCACCCTATGTCAAAAAAATTTAACACACCAGCAGTGTGAAGAGACCTGAAAGTGGCACATGGCAGCAGAGTGTGGCGATGGAGACAGCAGCAATGGGAGGCCGTACAGGGACCCATGAGAGACTCTGGACTTGGCAGCAGCATGAGGAGGCGGTATATAGGGGCCCATGGCAGATTAGGGGCCTGGCAGCAGCTATGTGAGGCCCGTAATCTGCCTGCACCCTATGTCAAAAAATTTAACACACCACCTGCAGTGTGAAGAGAGACCTGAAAGTGGCACATGGCAGCAGAGTGTGGCGATGGAGACAGCAGCAATGGGAGGCCGTACAGGGACCCATGACAGACTCTGGACTTGGCAGCAGCATGAGGAGGCGGGTATATATAGGGGCCCATGGCAGATTAGGGGCCTGGCAGCAGCTATGTGAGGCCCGTAATCTGCCTGCACCCTATGTCAAAAAATTTAACACACCAGCAGTGTGAAGAGACCTGAAAGTGGCACATGGCAGCAGAGTGTGGCGATGGAGACAGCAGCAATGGGAGGGCCGTACAGGGACCCATGACAGACTCTGGACTTGGCAGCAGCATGGAGGAGGCGGGGGTATATAGGGGCCCATGGCAGATTAGGGGCCTGGCAGCAGCTATGTGAGGCCCGTAATCTGCCTGCACCCTATGTCAAAAAAATTTAACACACCAGCAGTGTGAAGAGACCTGAAAGTGGCACATGGCAGCAGAGTGTGGCGATGGAGAGCAGCAGCAATGGGAGGCCGTACAGGGACCCATGAGAGACTCTGGACTTGGCAGCAGCAGAGAGGAGGCGGTATATAGGGGCCCATGGCAGATTAGGGGCCTGGCAGCAGCTATGTGAGGCCCGTAATCTGCCTGCACCCTATGTCAAAAAATTTAACACCAGCAGTGTGTGAGGAGACCTGAAAGTGGCACATGGCAGCAGAGTGTGGCGATGGAGACAGCAGCAATGGGAGGCCGTACAGGGACCCATGACAGACTCTGGACTTGGCAGCAGCATGAGGAGGAGGCGGTATATAGGGGCCCATGGCAGATTAGGGGCCTGGCAGCAGCTATGTGGAGGCCCGTAAATCTGCCTGCACCCTATGTCAAAAAATTTAACACACACCAGCAGTGTGAAGAGACCTGAAAGTGGCACATGGCAGCAGAGTGTGGCGATGGAGACAGCAGCAAATGGGAGGCCGTACAGGGACCCATGACAGACTCTGGACTTGGCAGCAGCATGAGGAGGCGGTGGGTATATAGGGGCCCATGGCAGATTAGGGGCCTGGCAGCAGCTATGTGAGGCCCGTAATCTGCCTGCACCCTATGTCAAAAAATTTAACACACCAGCAGTGTGAAGAGACCTGAAAGTGGCACATGGCAGCAGAGTGTGGCGATGGAGACAGCAGCAATGGGAGGCCGTACAGGGACCCATGACAGACTCTGGACTTGGCAGCAGCATGAGGAGGCGGTATATAGGGGCCCATGGCAGATTAGGGGCCTGGCAGCAGCTATGTGAGGCCCGTAATCTGCCTGCACCCTATGTCAAAAAATTTAACACACCAGCAGTGTGAAGAGACCTGAAAGTGGCACATGGCAGCAGAGTGTGGCGATGGAGACAGCAGCAATGGGAGGCCGTACAGGGACCATGAGAGACTCTGGACTTGGCAGCAGCATGAGGAGGCGGTATATAGGGGCCCATGGCAGATTAGGGGCCTGGCAGCAGCTATGTGAGGCCCGTAATCTGCCTGCACCCTATGTCAAAAAATTTAACACACCAGCAGTGTGAAGAGACCTGAAAGTGGCACATGGCAGCAGAGTGTGGCGATGGAGACAGCAGCAATGGGAGGCCGTACAGGGACCCATGACAGACTCTGGACTTGGCAGCAGCATGAGGAGGGGGTATTATATAGGGGCCCATGGCAGATTAGGGGCCTGGCAGCAGCTATGTGAGGCCCGTAATCTGCCTGCACCCTATGTCAAAAAATTTAACCAGCAGTGTGAAGAGACCTGAAAGTGGCACATGGCAGCAGCAGAGTGTGGGCGATGGAGACAGCAGCAAATGGGAGGCCGTACAGGGACCCATGAGAGACTCTGGACTTGGCAGCAGCATGAGGAGGCGGTATATATAGGGGCCCATGGCAGATTAGGGGCCTGGCAGCAGCTATGTGAGGCCCGTAATCTGCCTGCACCCTATGTC